GGACAATTTTCCTGAAACTTTCCTCAAAGGACGATCTCTGGTTGTAGTTGTGCAGTGAGGTCGTTCAGTTCCAATATGTCTACCGTTGCCATGGAAACCTGTAAAAAGCGACGAATTTTGTCCGCGAGTGTTCTCTCTGGTCCCTTAAACGTTCGTCATGAAACTTTTTTTATTTTAATGATTAGTATCTGTAGTTGTGCGATTTGCATTTAAAATTTTCAAATAATCGATTATTGCCATGGAAACCAGAGGAATGTTAAAATTCTTTATTTTCGATTTTCTCAATAACTACTCAAGCAATCGTTTTGAAACTTTCAATGTTAATTCCTTGCAATGTGTCAAAGTAATTTCTACTTTTAAAATAATTGTAATGAGTCGCTCACAGTTGTCATAGAAACGAAACAGAAAAAAAGGTTAAGATGTACACATGTGTTCTCCAAGGTCTAGGTCAAAGGGTCAAAGTTCTTCGTGTCCAATAAAAGTTCTTTTCACAAGGATTACATATTTGAAATACGAAAGCCCTAGCCCTTACCGTTCAAACGTTATGGCTAAGGTACTATGTTCAAGACGACCCCCCCCCCCCCCCCCCTTTTGAAGCGCAGTGCCAGGTAGAATACACAGATATAACATATACAACTTACAAGTAACGTTTTAAAAGTTTCATTCATAAAATTCAGTTCTCCTGATGTGATTTGATAGTTTGCCAACATTCATTCTTCTTCTGTCTTGTCTCTAGATTTTATAATTATTTTATCTATATAAAAAAAAATATCGATTGTTAGCTGCATTTATTAGCATTTTGCGTTTTCTTATATATCTATTACTTGTATATTATTCATTTCATTAGATAGTGCAAGTATAAATTAGAAAATTGCTACGTTGTTTCCACAGTTTTTATTCATTCATAAATCCCTGGATCCGCTCCTATACAGGTGCGCGAAGCCTTGATCACTACTGTAAACAAAACATTCATCTCGCCGAAAATGTTCATGATTCCGCTAAACTGAAAAAGTTTACACATGATTTATCATCTCATAAGAAACATCAGCCCTGTGCAATGCAGAAATGCTCGAATTGGAGGTGGAATGTCAGATTCGTTTTCCAGCAGAACCTCTAAAAATGAAAGTGAAAATAGGGAAATTTCACAGTTCTTATTGGCGTTATAATACAGAAAATAATTCGGCTGATCTTCTTAATAAATTACATTTGCCAAGCTTTTTTGTTAGGAAAGACACTGCCAATTAACAAGTATGAGGCTCAGTTCAGTACATCTGCCCAATTTCTTTTATGCAAGTCTGCAAATTTAGGAACTTGTAATTTTTTCCTGCACTACTTTCTTCTCCTACCGATTCTAAAAATAATTAGTGGGATGTACCCAATTAAGGTCTTCCGTTTCCAACGGAAAGGACTGATACGACTCGATGGTTGTCCAAGCTTACTTAATGGACCATTGTTTTAGTGATGATAAAAATGAAAGTCTTGTCCAGTACGGGGCGACATATGCTATTGCTTGCAATAGCAGACTTTCTAGTTATTAAGGTCTTCCGTCTTCAGCGGAAGACCTTACTGTTATTCTTAGGTTTCTTTTTCACTTTTATTATTCTTTTTTTTCTTACCGATTTTGTGCACGCGATTTCTCAAATACGGCTTGATGGATTTCCATGAAACTTTCAGGACTTATGTTACATTACTTGAACCTTATGCATTTTTTTCTGATTTGATGACGTCACTTCCGGTTTGGAGATATTGTCGATTTTATGATTTTTGAAGGGTCTGGTTGTCCGCAGACTTTCTCAATAATGGCTCAAGATAGAAACATGAAACTTTCAGATATAATAGACCAAAGTCTGTAGATATGTATAACGTATTTCATTTTTATTGGAAGTGCCGCACGTCGGCGCTCGCTATGGCCCGAAAATAGACGTATCACGAATTTCAAAGTTTTTAACACTTTTTCGAAGATATCTTTTTACCTAGAAATATTTTGTTAAGACATATAGAACAAAAGAAGTGTAGAATTGCATGATCTTTCAAATGATATCCAAGAAAAAGGGCTGGCCCCTAAAACAAAGGATCCAGAGGGGCCAAAACGTTTTCTCTAATATCTCAAAAAGTGTTGACAATTTGTTATGCATCATAGAAGGAAAGTTGTTCAAAATAATAAATAGCAGAGGCAGAGATCATTTAAAGTCGTTAAAATACCGTCACTTCCGGTCAGGCCGGAAGTATTTGTAAATGGCTCGTTTTTTGCACACATAACCGTAAATGTCTATCAATCTCGATATCATCGTCTTCAGAATTAGACGGAAGACTTATTTGTTGCTTTGCAACAAGCTCGTCTAGTTATTATTATTTTTCATTTTTATTTTTTTGACCTTTTCAAATAGCATTTTCTCGAAAACCACTCAATGAATTTCAACCAAATTTTCAGGAAATAAGTGTTGTACCATGCCATTTTGAAATATGAAAAGAATTTGGAAAAATTAACTTCCGGTCAGGAATTATTGCAAAATTTCATTTTTTCCACTAAAAATCTATTCCGTGAATGTTCTCAGAAACTATAAAAGGTAGGATTCTCAAACTTTCAGATATGATAGAGGTTGGTTTGTAAATGTGTGATAAGAACATTTCGTGTGTCGTCGCCACTTCCGGTCGTCACAGGAAGTGATTGAAAAAGGGCAATTTTTTGAACTTTTTTGTTTTTTGACATTTTTTATTGATATTAATAAGAATAATAGAGACATATTTGACAATGATAAATATGTAATTTGATTTAAAATCGGAAATTCCAACCTCGAGATATTCGCATTTAAAAATTATGTGGTGGTCCCCAATGGCGTAATGGTAAGCGCGTTGGATTTCCACGCTGGCGACCCGGGTTCCATCCCCCATGTGTCCAAAATTTTTTTTTATCACTTTTTCATTTTGATTTTACGTTTTTCTTTCAGAATCGGACGGAAGACCTCTCGTTGCTCGCAACGAGTTTCTTTTCTAGTTATTATTATTATTATTTTTTTTTTTTGCATATTTAAATACTTTGTTATAGTAATACAACTTACATTCGATGTTATTTAAGGCAATCAAGAGCTGAGTTTCTTTCAATTAAACAACTGAGTTCGCCCCCCCTTTTTTTTCAGCTGCCCGTCAAAATATTACATGTATTTATGCAAATGCAATAAGGAATTTAAATTCTGCTGAATTTCAAATTCTACCCATGCTTAGCGCTTTCCAGTACTTTCAGTACTTTGATTTATAGCTCTACATGTAGCAAACCCATTTTCCACTAAATATGCGAAACTGTCAACTTTGAAATTAAGATCATCTAATAATAATTCCTTCAGTAAAATAAAATGATAAAATATTTTGAAGATGACATTACTGAGAACATGATTTTAGAAAAATATTACTTTTCTGTGAATTTTGAAAATTGAGAAACATTTTGTCTCAGAGCGGGGGATTGTCCACGCCTTATACGCCCTCTTTCTTTTTGGTTCTCAGGGACGTAATTTTGTTAGTAACTTGTTTATACATGCACAGGATTTAAAGCATAAATATGTTAGCAAAACAATTGTTCTTGAAGATGTAATGCTACGTTTACACTATGTTCCCGGCAGCCACGGCAATCACGTTTCAGGCCACCGTGGAAAAAACGGGACGGGCGTGAGAAAACTTGGGGCAACGGGATGGGCAAACGTAACTCATCGCGATTGCCGTGGATGCCGTGCCAGATTTTTAAACTGTCAAAAAATTTGCCACGGCGGCCACGTTGCAGATGTGAAACTTAGTAGGTCGTAGTAAAACGGAATAAACGCAACAAAACGCGACAGCACGTAATAGACCGTAACAGAACTTGGAGGCAGTCCGCTGTGGGACGGGAGAATGTATATTTCCATTCATCTCACTGTCCATTCACGTTTTGAGACGTTTTGCTGAGTTTAGTCCGCGTTCTGTAACGGCTAGTTCACGGTTGTTGTCCGTTTTATCACGTTCTGCCACGTTTCATCACGGTCCTCACGGCAAACTAGGGTGTATGGTAGCCGTTTCCTCGCGTTCAATCGCGGTTCGTCCCGGCATGTTACGGTTTATGGTCCCGGTGCGTTGCGTTCTACTACGGTCTGACACGGCGCACGCGGTCTGAGAGGAAGCATATAAAAGCCGGGCACTGCAGAGAAGTTTCATTCGAGTCTGAACAACCTAGTTGCTGCACTCCTGCCTTCCCTCTCTGTAGCTGCTGCTGGTTCTCTTCATTTTTACGAAGTGATTTTAGGTATGCACCCAGCAAACACGCGAAAATAAAATCTTCGTCTTGGGAATTCATGATGTATTATATTCGAAGAGGCATGATACAATGATTGTTTCTGGTTAGGAGACCTTCTCTGGTACAAACGTGATCCATAGTTTCCCGGCGTCCATGTTTCATACGTAGAAAGACTTGACAGAACGTGAGAAACGTATAAGAACTTCATAAGAACGCGAGAAACGAGAGGGGACCTATCAGAACGTAAGAGACCTGGGGGGAACGTGCTGGCATACGTGGCAGAACCGTAGTGCGCCGTGGAGCCTCCGGCACTCCACGGCAACTTCTTCATACGGCCCATTACGGATTCCGTAGAAGACCGTAGAAGACCGCAAAAGAACTTGTCAAGACTTGAATATAGAGGGGAAAATAACCAAAATCTCACGGCGCACTACGTTTCGGGCAAACGGGGCTGCCGTGGCTGCCGGGAACATAGTGTAAACGTAGCATAAATTGATATATAAAGGTGACCTAAAAACCATGGTCCCCAACAAACATTGATGATTTCACAGTATTTACTCACCATTATACCGCATCATAATTATTCTATACAACGTATTATCTAATTGGTTCTAGATTATCACGTGACAGGGCCATAAAAGTTCATACTTCCCTGTCGTCTTCATGTTTTTCATCATATTCATTCTCTTCGGAAACCTTATGCATTTTCCAGCAGTTTTTAGTCATCGTTCATTTATTTTAGGAGTTGGCAAATGTATCGCAAACTTACACACCAAAATCCACTGAAGACCTAAAGGAGTACCTTGAAAAATGCATGAAAGAGGAAAAAATTCCCATTTTTCTCAGTAAGAAAAATGTTCACGAGACCATTCTAAAGGATGAGGGATTAAAGGATGTCAATTTAGCTTTCATTGATGTACAACATCTTAAGCACGAGGTAAGAAATGCCTGTGTCTTATGAGAGAGAAATTGAGAAAAAGAATGAGCGGTCTGAATAACAATCACAGTATTTGTTAACTAACAATACACAAAACATCAAATGTGCGGAAAGATCTTTTTCTCTTTTCAGTGAAATAAAAATGCTACACAAGCTTTTAAGTGTTGTAGTAAAGAGTTCTCTGCAAAGACATTCATTATAATTATAAGAAACAAATTGGGGGAAGATAGGAAGAAAAATAATGCCTAAAAGTCCATTTAAACAATTAAAGGATGACTGCATTTAAGGACATGCGAAAATTGCGTCAAAATAAACTTTTAGAATTGTCTTTTTATTGCAGAAAGGATCAACATCTTATCTACAACTTTACGTAATGACAATCAAAGAAAGTTTGTATTTTACGAATTTTAAATGTGTTTTTTAAGGAAGGGTGATCACAATTTCTTCAATCTCCGTACGATAATGAGGACGCCCACTTCATATACTGACTTTATTCATAGTCAGCGCATGTTTATCTATTGTTCTCTTTTTAATAGTAGAAGTATATTTACATTAGTTATGCTGTGTTAAAAGGAGATTAATAGACAAGAATGCCCTCATGATTTAAAAAATGAACAAGATGTCTGTGTGAAACACTATGCGCCCAGCGGCAACAAAGTTCGAAAAAGCTATTTTTAGCACATAAATCACGGTCAAGGTCACAAGGTCATTGACTTTTCTGTCATTTGAAAGAACTTTATTAGTGGAGTATGCATACCAAATATGAAGTCCCTATCACCTTTGGTTAAAAAAATTTGGCAAAAAGTCGAAAAAGCTATTTTTAGCATATAGGTCACAGTCAAGGTCACAATGTCAATGACCTTGATGTCATTTGAAAGAACATTATGAGAGGAGTATGCATACCAAATATGAAGTCCCTACCCCCAGTGGTTCAAAAGTTATGTCAAAAAGTCGAAAAAGTTATTTTTAGCATATAGGTCACATTCAAGGTCACAGGGTCAAAAACCTTGATGTCACTTGAGAGAACTTTATTAGTGCAAAATGCATAGCAAATACGAAGTCCCTATCTCTTATGGTTCAAATAATTATGGCGAAGGTTAACGTTGACAACAGACAGACTGACAAACAGATAAACAGACAGGACAAAAACAATATACGCCCTGGATCTCTCAATCCGGGCGCATAAAAAAGTTTTTTTTATGTTCTATCAATCCTGAAGGTTTCATGAAGATCAAGCAAGCCCATTTCGAGAACTTGCGTGCACAAGATATGTAAGAACAAGATGCGTCTGTGAAACACTGTGCGCCCTGCGGCAACAAAGTTCGAAAAAACTATTTTTAGCATAAAGATCAAAGTCAAGGTCACATGGTCATTATGTTCCCCAAACGAAGTTGGGGAACATATTGTTTTTACTCTGTTTTTTATTATTAATAAGGTCTTCCGTCTTCAGCGGAAGACCTTATTGTTTTTCTTAGGTTTCTTTTCCACTATTTTTATTAAGGTCTTCCGTCTTCAGCGGAAGACCTTACTGTTATTCTTAGGTTTCTTTTCCACTATTTTTAGGGTCTTCCGTCTCCAACGGAAGACCCTTCTATTATTCTATTGTTTCTTTTTCACTTTTTTTATTCTTCCTTTTTTTTTCTTACAATTTTTGTGCAGAAGATTTCTCGGAGATGACTCGATCGATTAACTTGAAATTTTCCGGAAAGATGTGTCTTCACCTAAACTTGATTCGTTTTTCTCACTTTTTTGAAATTCACTTCCGGTCGGAAGTTATCGCCCTTTAATCGAAATTTAGAGGGCTTTCTTGTCTAGAGCAGAACTCAATAACGGTTTAAGCTACAGCGCTGAAATTTTTACCAAAGATAGAGGACATGTTGCCTTTGTGCACCTGGGTCAGGATATTTTCCGGAAGTGTCAGTATGGAAGCTCGGTGGGGTCAAAATCTAGGACACGAATCATGAGTGAATTTTCGAGACATTTTGTATCATATCTTTTAAAGTAAAAATATTTTGTTAAAACATACTGAACGATATTCGTGCAGAATGACAAGATCTTTAATATGATATCAAGAAAAAAGTGCTGAATCATCACATAAAGGGCAAAAAGGGGCCAAAAGTCTTTTTTCGATAACTCTTTAACAGTCAATATTTTGTTATACATTACTGAAGCAAAAATGTTTATCTCAACAATTTACAACTTTATATTATAATTTTTATAATATATGATACATAATTAGGGGCCACAATGGGCCAGAATGCCAAATTTTTGTCGCTTTATATCTCGAAAGTGGGAAATATTTTGATAAGCAATACTGAACAAAAGATGTTCAAAATAATGTTCTGAACAATATGCAACCTTTCATTTTTCGCTAATCGTCCCCATTAAGGAGTTGAAGGGTTGGCCCCTAAATATTTCTTTCGCTAATAACACGAAAACAAAAAAGAATCTTTTAATAGTTGTTGAACAAAAAGTGTTCAAATTTATGAGAGCTTTAAGATGAAATCAAGAAAAAGGGGCTGGGCACTCAAATTAGGGGCCAAGAGTGGCCAAAATTTTTCAATCGGTAACTCTTTATTAGTTAATATTTTGTAATACATTACTGAAGCAAAGATGTTCATCTCGACGATCTACAACTATATATTATGATATTTATGTCGTATGGTACATAATAAGGGGCCATAAGGGGCCAGAATTCTAAATCTTTGACGCTTTATATCTCGAAAGTGAGAAATATTTTGATAAGCAAAATTGAACAAAAGATGTTCAAAATAATGTTCTGAACAATATGCAACCTTTCATTTTTCGCTAATCGTCCCCATTAAGGAGTTGAAGGGTTGGCCCCTAAATATTTCTTTTGCTAATAACACGAAAACAAAAAAGAATCTTTTAATAGTTGTTGAACAAAAAGTGTTCAAATTTATGAGAGCTTTAAGATAAAATCAAGAAAAAGGGGCTGGGCACTCAAATTAGGGGCCGAGAGGGGCCAAAAGTCTTCAATCAGTAACTCTTTATTAGTTAATATTTTGTAATACATTACTGAAGCAAACATTTATCTCGACGATCTACAACTATATATTATGATTTTAATGTCGTATGGTACATAATTAGAGGCCATAAGGGGCCAGAATTCTAAATCTTTGACGCTTTATATCTCAAAAAATGACAAATATTTTGATGAGCAATGTTGAACAAAAGATGTTCAAAATAATATTCTGAACAATATGCAACCTTTCATTTTTCGCTAAACGTCCCTGTTAGGGAGTTGAAGGGTTGGCCCCTAAATATGTCTTTTGCAAATAACTCGAAAACGAAAAAGAATCTCTGAATAGTTGTTGAACAAAAAGTGTTCAAAATCATAAGAGCTTTAAGATGAAATCAAGAAAAAGGGGCTTGGCACTCAAATTAGGGGCCAAGAGGGGCCAAAAGTCTTCAATTGATAACTCTTTATCAGTTAATATTTTGTAATACATTACTGAAGCAAAGATGTTTATCTCAACCATTTACAACAATGTATTATGATTTTTATGTCGTATGGTACATAATTAGGGGCCACAAGGGGCCAAAATGCTAAATCTTCGATGCTTTATATCTCGAAAGAGAGAAATATTTTGATTAAAAATATTGAACAAAAGATGTTCAAAATAATGTTCTAAACAATATGCAACCTTTCATTTTTCGCTAAACGTCCCTGTTAGGGAGTTGAAGGGGTGGCCCCTAAATATTTCTTTTGCAAATAACCCGAAAACGAAAAAGAATCTCTGAATAGTTGTTGAACAAAAAGTGTTCAAAATCATAAGAGCTTTAAGACAAAATTAAGAAAAAGGGGCTGGGCACTCTAATTAGGGGCCAAGAGGGAACAGAAGTCTTCAATCGATAACTCTTTTTCAGCTAATATTTTGTAATACATTACTAAGCAAAGATGTTTAACTCAACCATTTACAACTATATATCATGATTTTTATGTCGTATGGTACATAATTAGGGGCCACAAGGGGCAAGGATGCAAAATCTTCGATGCTTTATATCTCGAAAGTGAGAAATATTTTGATAAGTAATATTGAACAAAAGATGTTTAAAATAATGTTCTAAACAATATGCAACCTTTCATTTTTCGCGAAACGTCCCCGTTAGGGAGTTGAAGGGTTGGCCCCTAAATATTTCTTTTGCAAATAACTCGAAAACGAAGCAGAATCTCTGTAAAGTTGTTGAACGAAAAGTGTTCAAAATCAAAAGAGCTTTAAGACAAAATTAAGAAAAAGGGGCTAGGAACTCAAATTAGGGGCCAAGAGGGGCTAAAAAACTTTAATCGATAACTCTTTATCAGTTAATATTTTGTAATAAATTGCTGAAGCAAATATGTTTAACTCAACCTTTTACAACTATATATTATGACTTTTATGTCGTATGGTACATAATTAAAGGCCACGAGGGGCCAGAATGCTTATTCTTTGACTTTTATATCTTGAAAGTGAGAAATATTTTAAGTTATATTGAAAAAAAGATGTCCAAAATCATGTTCTGAACAATATGCAACCTTTCATTTATCTCTAAACGTCCCCATTAAGGAGTTGAAGGGTTGGCTCCTAAATATTTGTCATGCAAATAACTCGAAAATAAAAAGAATCTCTGAATAGTTGTTCAACAAAAAGTTTTCAAAATCCTAAGAGCTTTAAGATGGTATTAATAAAAAGGGCTGATTCTTAAAATTAGGGGCCGTGAGGAGCCAAAAGCCGATTTTTTAAGTCTTTAATGTTTAATGTCTTTTATAGATTATGGAAAATCATTACTTTAGAATGAAAATCTCAATCAAAATCTTATCTCATCTCATCATGAATCGGACGGAAGACACACTCGTTGCTCGCAACGAGATCGTATCTAGTTATTATTAAGGTCTTCTGTCTTCAGCGGAAGACCTTCTTGTTATTCTTAGGTTTCTTTTCCACTATTTTTACTAAGGTCTTCCGTCTTCAGCGGAAGACCTTACTGTTATTCTTAGG